CCACAAAGGTCCTGAAACTCAACATATTAGTCTCTTGTCCCAGTTTACAAAGGAAAACTTCATCACAAACAGGATTTGTTTCGGTCATGAATCGTTTTGTTGGTCCAAAACCGCAAACTGGCCAGCTATCATCCTCATCAATACCATTCACACAATCTTTCACACCATCTTGAAGCCATGCCAGAGGAATTCTGAGCGGTTGTTCATGTCTGTAAGCTCTATGACACGTTCGTTGTGTAAGGGAGTTGCAAGATTTTAGATCCTCATCTTCATCATTCAAGCAATCTTTTATACCGTCACAGAGCCTGTGTTTGTGAATAAAACACGTCGGTGAAACTGATTCGCATACCTGAGAGATCATATTATATGAAACAAGATTATTACTCCGGGGCCGTGATGAGTTTTATGACACAATGTGAATGAAAAAGGGATTTCTATGGTTATGGAATTAGGGCTTTAATGTATTTAGTTCAGGGGGTAGAATATCACTACAGAAATCGTTAGATAGTTTACCTGCCCCACTCCATCGTCGCACATTCGAGGAATTGTTGTCAACTCATGACACACCAAATATATTGACAAAGTTGAACTGTATCCTCCTATATTGCAAGTCAATATACCCCTGTTGTGGGTGTTGGGGTTGTACAATGAATTGACAATCAAGTTTATTTGTTGATGAAATTCGAAAATTAATTAATTGAATAAGTCCTGATGAATAAGTTCAATTAACCTGTCAGGATCAGTGCAATTTGTCTGATCCAGGAAGTTAGTGCAGATGGGGAGGACACTAAAGTAATCCCCTGGCGTCATCCAGAGTGCAGCACATCTCGTGCTGTTTATGATAGGGATTACCTAGGGTGACGTCATGTTAGGGCAGGAATCGAGAGTGCCCAATGTCATGACAATTTCAAGATGTGACAATAAACGACAAGATTTGACAATATACGACAATATAATACTATGACAATATATGACAAGATGTGACAATAAACGACAAGATTTGACAATATACGACAATATACGACAATATACTATTCAGACAATATATGACAAGATTTGACAATATTTGACAATATATGACAATATATGACAATATACGACAATATTCGACAGAATATAATGACAGATTGACAAAATGTGACAAACCGTGGGAAAATGGGCACTCTCGGTTCCTGCCCTAGATAAGCCAACAGTTTTACAACTGGGTTAAAAGCAATAATAAGGATGTGGTGTTTCAGTTAGTGGACAATGAGGCTTAGAAAAATTGTTTCATCAAGATAGGGTTCTGGTTGGTTACCAGTATAAATCAGAAACAATATCACCAGGAGAGAGTCCCTCCTAATAGAAGCTAGGTCCCTTAGTATACTGACATGGAATCATTGGTATTCTTTAACATAGTTAGAAGTTAGTAAACCTCAGCTTAGACATAACTAGGTCCCTTAGTATACTGACATGGAATCATTGGTATTCTTTAACATAGTTAGAAGTTAGTAAACCACAGCTTAGACATAACTAGGTCCTTCAGTATACTGACATGGAATCATTGGCATTCTTTAAAATAGTTTGAAGTTAGTAAACCACAGCTTAGATATAACTATGACGAATAATAGTTCGTCAAAACGAAGTCTAAATAGAAATCCCAATTAACAGTCCACTTACTTCGTCCGGACCTCCTGCCATCGCAGTACACTTCTCCGTCCAAGTCAAGTTGGTTACATCTGGGCACTCCCGTTCATCCTCACCATTTTGACACAAATATGAATCTACCCCGTTACACATGTCGCCGGGATTAACATAGTTCAGTGCTCCTTGGTAGTTGTTACAATATATTCCATAGAGATAGCCCCCACATAGCGCCTCATCCTCGCAGCGGTAGTGAACGTCACATTTACCATTACACACAGTGGATTGGGGCACCACCATACCTGTCTTTAGCCGGACAGTTGTCTCTGCTGGGCCCTCTGCATCTGTGCAAGCAGGACCGGATAAGTCCAAGTTAGTGCAGACTGAAGTGTTCCAACAGGGTCGAGCATCGCAAGGTTGTCTCTGACAAGCCATATTTGGGGGGAGTGAGTATGAACCTAAATATTGGTCAAGAATTGGTGGGAGCTCACAAATGTAGTCCCCGCAGAGGGTTTTATTGTTTGATGTTAGTTGATCGTTCCCTTCACCGCAACTCTGATAGAAACGAGGGTCCACCTCGCAGATGTGATCAAACATACTATAATAGTCCATCTGCTTAGCGACGTAGTAGCTGTTAGAGTTATGACACTGGTGAACAGTGTAGCCATGGTCCTCAATGCAAACCTTCTTTAGAAATTTGTCCTTTTCAACTATCGGGCAGTCCTCTGAAATCAATATTAAATTAATTCATAAATTATTGCGAATATTTGTAGGAATATATCAATTGTCAATAAGTGATTATAAACGTAATGATAATTTACGTATTTACTAATTTAATAGAGTTAGTTCTCAGCTAGTTTCTAAACTGCTAGAAATTGTTCGTTTAGCATCCCGCATCTCACATATTCACGCGCATTAGACACAATTCACAAACGTGCAGTTGTGGTCATTTAGGTATCTTATTGGGACAGGAAAATAAAACACCTCCCTATCTTAGCTATATAAACCTATATACAGCTTCACAAACCTCTTAACGGTTCACAAAACAGTATCCAATATTTAAAATCATCAAAAGCTCGTTTAACGTGAACCTTAAAGTCAGCACCAGAGGTCCCGTTATCACACTTGACATGATCCAGTGTAATACTACCCCAGCGCGAGCGTTTTGTCATGTTATAGTCAAAGTCAGAGGTCCCCGAGAAAAAGCTGAGGGCTTGCTTAAAACCCATTGTCTGGCATATGTGGTTAGAAAGGCATTTTGAATTACCTTGGACGGAAGTTAGGATGCTTTTCTGAGGATGGGTTACTGTTAAATATGGGAAGAAAAATAAGGAATACAAGTTCAATGTGTAAACATTTATTTAATGGTTGAAGCTACAAAATGTTCACGGACATGTCGAAACTCGACCTGCTGTGATATTTTTATCGGTAAGGGAGTTTTAAAAATGAAACACCTCCAAACTTATTGTGTTGAACATGAAAGTGCTTATTAAACCATTACCAGCTTATGATAGCTTGGTAAAATAAATTTCTTTTATCAAACTTTCAAGCAATTTGGTTAAATAGTTAATCAATTAGTAATAGTATTGATTCAATACACTATACATAATAATGATTTCATTTAAATACGGTTTGTAAAAACATATTACTTTTTCATTTTCCTTAACAAAGACCACGCCAAAACTAGTCTTGGAGTATCCCCCTTCGCTATTCATTAAATGGAATTTTACTTTACTGTTCCCTGAAACAAATTGAGAAGCATTTTCAGTAAAATTCGGGAAAATATTATTTATTCTCCTTTACTCATATGTTCCCTATAAGTATATTACTGATTTGAAATAGCAAATTCCGAACGTTTTAATTGATTTTTTATTTTATTTTATTTCAAACTTGTAAATCTAACATGAAATATAAAATTTACCGGCAAACGAAGGTGGTAGATTCAAATAAATCACTATAGAAAATAATATCGTGTAATTCAACATCATGGAGACATCGACCTACGGATCAGATTCATCATTAAATTATGAATTTATCGAAGAATCTACAATATGAATAAGTAGGCAGTTGTGCTTCAAAATTTCGGAGGTTAAGTAGTCGTGCGCAATGCCCGTGCAATCCGCAATCTGAAAACAAACAAACGAAATATTTGTATATATTTTTTATAGCTTGCAATAGTTTACGTCCCAGCACACGTGACACGTGCGTAACATTAGCACGTGCGTAACAATAGCACGTGCGCAACATTAGCACGTGCGTAACATTAGCACGTGCGTAACAATAGATTGCTCTGTGACACGTGCCTTAAGAAAAGAACATCCGGCTTGACCCTGTGACAACTAAATGCATTTTCTGTATTCTATAAAACATAAAGAGACTATTCATTTTGCTGTAAAATATAGTGCGATGTCGCAACTTGGGAAATATATTTGAGATATGATAATAATATTGTGAATGAAAATGTTCGCATTATTGCGACTGCAATATCATGTATTAGGTTTTTTATTAATAAACTTGTCCCCATTATTCGATATTTATGATAGTCTTTACGTCAAAAGAAAAATGAGTCATTTAAAGCGTTTAAAACTCTTTTATCAAAATATCGTATCATTTATTTCTGCACCCAATTACTCCTATAGTTGAACCCCGTGACCGCTAAATGCATTTTCTGTATTCTATAAAACATAAAGACTATTTATTTTGCTGTCCAATATAGTGAGATGTCGCAACTTGAGAAATATATTTGAGATATAATTTTTTTAAATAATAATATTGTGAATGAAAATGTTCGCATTATTGCGACTGCAATATCATGTATTAGGTTTTTTATTTAATAAACTTGTCCCCATTATTCGATATTTATGATAGTCTTTACGTCAAAAGAAAAATGAGTCATTTAAAGCGTTTAAAACTCTTTTATCAAAATATCGTATCATTTATTTCTGCACCCAATTACTCCTATAGTTGAACCCCGTGACCGCTAAATGCATTTTCTGTATTCTATAAAACATAAAGACTATTTATTTTGCTGTCCAATATAGTGAGATGTCGCAACTTGAGAAATATATTTGAGATATAATTTTTTTAAATAATAATATTGTGAATGAAAATGTTCGCATTATTGCGACTGCAATATCATGTATTATGTTTTTTATTAATAAACTTGTCCCCATTATTCGATATTTATGATAGTCTTTACGTCAAAAGAAAAATGAGTCATTTAAAGCTTTTAACACTCTTTTATCAAAATATCGTATCATTTATTTCTACACCCAATTACTACTATAGTTGAACATGTTGAACATGTTCTGATTATTATTCACGTATCAACTGTATAATATCTCCCACCAACAACGTACTAAAGACTCTTTTTTCAGATTCAGGAAGCGACAACGAGATGAGTGACGATGATAGTAACTCTTCTGGTGTAGAAGAAGAGGAGGAGGAAAGTGAGGACGCTGGTCCTTCAAACAAACAAGATACAACTGAAGCAACCACTGAGAAAGAGCCTACTTGTGATGCGGAGGAAAATAAGGAGGGACAATCTGAGGAGAAAATACCGAGTAGTAAACGAGCAAACATTGAAGAATCAGAGGAAAGCCCAAGCAAGCGGGTAAAAACTGGATCCTGAGCAAGAGTTAAAATGTACACGAGATGTTACTAGAAGTAGGGATGCAGTGCACACTTACAGTTTACGCAATATTCTTTACTCAGCCAAATGAGTGATTCTCTGATACATTTATTGGACTATATAATGTGCATCGCTCAACTTCTTTTAGTAACACGTGAATATTCCCCTACCATTTATACCAGAAAATTTGATAAAGGATAATTATGAGCTAGTTTAATGGAATTTGTTTGTTTAAAAATATGGCCGGGTTTGTTCAATAACGTTTAATTAAAGAGCCTTCGACGAGATAGCAAAACTAGTGCAGTGGGGAGACGGCTCACAGTGTATTGACACGAGACAGTCATTTACGGGCGACTGATGATACTCGTACAATATTTGTTTCAAATATTAACATCGTCGATGGGTTGCTAAGCATTAAGCAACTCGACGCGCGCGTTAGTTGGTAATAAACCTACAATGTGTATAACTATAAGTGATAAGTTCTAACGTGTTAAAACAAAAATGAAGCGCCTCCCCACAAATGTTCAAGTCTTTTTTACAATAATATTAAATGTTAGATAACTTCCAACCTATATTATATAATTGTTAACTAACATGACAGTTAAGAGCAAGAGTTCTATAATAATAATGACGGATAAAATTGGAGATAATAGGATTTAACTGAGACATTATAAAATGATAGTTCTCTAATTTTAGCGATATTATCCCAATATAACGAACATTTGTGTTACTTATTCAGCCGAGCTATCATAACCCTATTTCTCCTGAAAGTGATTACTGGGTCTTTGTTAACAATATTCTTGGATATGCAATGTTGTTCATCTAAGATATTGTTCATGAACAATATTATTCATTGTTCGTCTACAATATTTTTCAGCTACAACTAACACTAACAGTATTGTGTAGTGTGTACACTTCCAAAAGTTGTCTTCCAATCCTAATTTACTCAGCACGAAGCTTCAATTTAGGATAACTTTCTCTAGCAATCTGATTAGGAAGTTTTTAATTTATCCAACTGCGCTCAGTTCGTTTCCCAGCATTCGAGAAAGGAATAACTGTTTTTGAACCTTTCAAACCGGCGCAACTTACATCTTCATTTTAAGGATAATTATTTGTAGAGTTAGTCTAGGGGTCGTTAACATATTATATGATACATATATGTACTATGTATATATCTATAACCGACAACCGTTGGGAGGGAGGGCTGGTGTAATTAAAGCTATGTGTAAAACTGATTACGGAGCTGGGGGTGGGGGGTTAAAATAGGCCAAAACGTGATCATATGTGAACGACCCCCTTAGCGTCTTTATCGACAATGGAACATGAAACACTAGTAAGCTCGTAGAGCTGCGAATGTTAGCTACGGTATTTTGCGGCCACTATGTATTTTCGTCACGCAAAACGCTTTAAAATGTTCAGGTGCTGGCTGTTTTCAGTATTGAACGTAACCTCTAGATCATGTAACATGGCCGAGGAAGGGAGCTGTTCAGGCATTATAGCGCAGTTTATTGGGGTTAAGGAATACTGTTCACCAATATGCATGATTTGTTTAAGAGATTGCGAGATTGACAAAACACAAAGACAATATACATCTAGTGCAATATATTTGATATTTTATTCAATTTGTAACCTAGGGGTTTTCGTCTTTACATTTATTGTTTAATTATGTTTTATTTTCGCAAACAGCATAATTGCTGTATAATTGTGAATTATATTATTTTGTTTTCTTTCGAATTTTGAATTGAGCATCGTTTCTTAGGAGCAAAAACGTAACACAGTTAAATTTAAAATGGAGTTGGTGTAAACTGATTTTCAATGACCTATAGTACTATAATTATATCAATATCAATCTGAATATCATTTTAATCAACTGGAGACAATAAACATTAAACACGAATCGGATTATAAAGATCTATTCTGATTGAATCCTTAGCGATGAAGCATTTTTCAAATTTGAATCTTACACTAGAATAATTGAGTTTGGACCGCATTAATAGGAGGTCCATTTCGACAGGACCGGTAGTATTTTTAGGAGGAAACGTATCTTGAAATTGAAAATAGTAATTCTTCGAATATTTTTGCACTTAGGGTTCGTTCCGGTTCACATATTACGTAATCAATATTTTAGCAATTTTTACCCCAACCCACCCCTCCTGACAGCAATATTATGTAATCAATAATCATGGCCTGACCCCCCCCCCCCCCCCCCCCCCCCCTTGACATTTTTCCCTAGAAAACACTTTTCTCTATGTTTCATGTTAACGGGTGATACTCGTAAAATATCTGTTCCATATATTGGACCGTCGACGAGTCCAACTCGGCTTGTTTCATGCTACCATGATCATGCTATCATGATGAGCTGAAATCACTGTTATGATATCCGGCCAATCACCTTCTAAACTACTTACTATTAGTATTATAGCCAGATATTCGATCAATTTCTAAATTTGATCACTAACAGAGTGAAACTGTGAAATTGTGTGGAATTTTAATTAAAACTTTAAATTATTGCCAATTACGTAATATTTGAACGACCCCTTAATCTTATTGACAATTTAATTTTAAAACAGTGACGGGTCTGAGCGCTCCTAAATCGCTCGCCCAAATTTTAAGAAAATTCTTGTGAAAAGGCCCTTTGGGCATGAAAGAGATCAAGATTGGTGTATTTTTGGACGCTGATTCCGAATCACCCGCCCATGACGTAGGGTTAAAATGGAGAGTTATGGGCAAAAAACCGTTTTGGTCACGCGACAGGTTAGTAAAATACGAATTCGATTGTTTAGGGCCCGGGTTAGCCGGTTAGGGTTAGGGTTGTTGTAACATGTAAGGGTTATGGTTAGCTTCAGAGTTATGGTTAGGGTTAAGGTTGGGATTAGGGTTTATGTAAAACCGTTTTGTACGGCTGCAAAACCATAAAAACCAAAGTCACGTGAAATTTTTGGGCGAGCGAATTAGTAGAACTAAAAGCCGGGTCTGAGTCATGAAATTCCAATTCTATAACAAAATTTGCTCTAAGTCTAACCAGAGCCCTCTCGCTTGCAGTAGCGCGCGACCGCAGTACGCGTATACACATGGCTATGTAATGTGAATACCAAAATCCAAATTGATTTAATATTGTCATACGTTGTATGACCCGCCGCGCACGAAGTGCGCGGCTCCCCCTGTATCGTCACCTAGTGAAACGACCGTGGGGGTCGCAACGTGATACAAATTTAATATTGTTTTTTCCCGAATCAATTTTGAAACGGTGGCGGGTCTGAGCCGCCATAAAATTGTAAACTATTTTACACGATCTGACAGTATCATTAACTGTCTGATAAAGTAGAAACTAGAAAGTAAAAAGTATTATTGATCATTAACTGATTAACTGTCTGATAAAGTAAAAAGTAGAAAGTATACTTGAACTGTCTGATAAAGTATAAAGTATAAAGTAGAAAGTATCATTGACATTAACTGTCTGATAAAGTAAAAAGTAGAAAGTAGACTTTAACTGTCTGATAAAGTACAGGGTGGGCCAAAAGTCATTGGGCATACGTTGGCCTTACTTAATAGCTCCGCCGTGTTTTATTGTTTATATTTGAGAGCTGTTGCTTTGCAGATAGCATACTATACCTTCTGGTTCGAGGATTTTGTCGTCAAAATTTAAAGATTCGAATATTTTAGACCACGCCCATTCATTATATTAAAACACCTATATTGTTTTCTCTGAACAGTACAGGTAGATTATTTATATTACATGTTGCATCTGATCAAAAAAAATTACATAAAAACGGATTTGAAATTAATTGTATCACGTCGTGACCCCCACGGTCGTTTCACTATTGACTATGGTAAAGTTTCTACGATACAGGGGAGCCGCACACTCGTGCGCGGCGGGTCATACAACGTATGACAAACAGTGATTTTAATTTTTTTGTAAGTTTATTATATAACCTACTAGGTCTTTCCAAGTCTGCTAAATTTCTAGGAGTGACCTTGGACAGCAAACTCACGGCATCCCTCATGCAATGTCGAAGAGCTGTCGGCCCCACATGGGGTATGAGCCCCAAAACATGCAAATGGATGTACACGGCTGTCATCTGTCCAATCCTATCCTACTGCTGTAGTATATGGATCAGGGCCACTCAAACGGACTATAACGCGAAGAAACTCAAACGTGTTCAGGCATTGGCACTCAGAATGATGTCTGGTGCCATGCCAAGCATACCTTTTATCGCATTGAATCACCTCACCGACACTTCTGACATCATACTGTTCCTGCAAGGTGAAGCAGCAAAGGGTGCGGCCAGGCTACAAGCTTATGGCAGCCTCACTCTTGAAACTATCGCCTTCAGGAAGGGAACTATCAAAAATCATACCACTATCAACAAACAATTCATGGCAGACCTCATTATCCCACCTAGAGCAACAAGAGACCTAACAACACCAACCATGATGCTGGGACGGCACTTCACCGTCACAACTCCTGGAGCCGATACCACTGAATATAGAAATTCACTTCAAAACACCATTGACAACATTACCAGTGAAACAATCACCTGCTACACTGACGGGTCACTCACAGACTCAGGATGCAGGGCTGGCTATATCATCACAACTGACAACAATAACACCACCCTTGAAGAAAGATCATTCAAGCTCCCTGATTATTGCACTGTTTACCAAACAGAGCTCACCGCCATCATTGAAGCTTGCAAATATCTCTCTACCTATACCAACACACATATCATCATATGATCTGACAGTCTCTCATCTATACAAGCTATCTCTGCGCTTTCAACGCGGAGTAGAACTACAAGAGACTGTTACGACTCTCTTAATGCACTCGGATCCAACAACACGCTAGAGATACGATGGATTGCAGCACACATCGGATTGTGGGGGAACGAAAAAGCAGATGAGCTGGCCAAGCTTGGTACAACCAGTGAATCCACTTTAAAGTGTCCAATTCCACAATCCTACATCAAGCGTCAAATCGACAACAAAGTCAACAGACTGAATCAGGAAACTTGGTTAACTGACGGTCCCAGACACACCAAACTGACACTCGGCCACAAGCATGCCAAAAATCATCAAAAACCTCAACACTACACTCAGCAAAAACAGACAAGATTACAGAACTGCAGTTCACCTCATCACGGGTCACTGCGGCTTAAACAAACACCTTCACACCATTTGCAAATCAAACACCAGTGCTTGTCCTATGTGCGGCGACGGAGAGGAAACTGTCTCACACTTCCTTGGACAGTGTCCAGCTATTGCCCAAATTAGAGGTCAATATTTCCAGGACTACTACCTCTCTGTCAATGACATATTTGACAACCAACACATCACCACAATTGTCAATTTCGCAAACCGCACCAAACGCTTAATTGTGCCGGAAGAGCTGGATCAGACCGGGGTGACTTAAAGTATTATCTCATATGCTGTCTCGTCTCGTTTTACTTTTCCAAACCCAGCTGGCATTTAAGCGTATCATTTTGACTCATATATCATCTTACACCATCCTCCACCAATCACTCTGATTTCACCGGCAACCTTCCCCAAGGTTGCCACACCCCAGAGGTAGGCAGAGCATCTCAATGCTATCCTCTCGTGGGCTATCTTGGCCCAGCCTCTCTTAAATATATATATGGAACAAATATATTACGAGTACAGAATATCACCCAGTGGCGTAACGTTGCCTGTTGGCGCCCCCCTGCCGAAAAGGCGCCC